AAAAAATTCATCTATTGATTGGCAGTAAAGTTTGAAAAGTCTTCTCCACAGTTTTTTTTGAGGGGGATTCAGCTAATTATTATTGTATAGATAATTGATAATATAATTAAAAACTATTTATTATTTATTATTATTATTATTATATTCTAGAATTTTTAAAGTTTTATAAAATTCTTATATCTCATGCTTGTTAAATAAAATAAAATAATTTAAAATAATTTTTTTTTAAATATGTGTTATTTCAATGTTAAACCATCTAGTTATTTAATTTATACTTGAAAATTTTAAATTTATAATGATTATTGTTTTTAAAATCTGATGTCGGAAAAATTAATGGTGTGCATATAATAAAGATAAATTAAAAATTAAAAAAATTATTAAAAATAAGTTTGTAAAGATGTTTGATGTAAAGCTGGTATTGCATATATACTAATAAAGCAATTCATCATCTAATGCTATTCTACAAACGTATTTAAAATATAATAAAAACTAATTTCAATGTATTTTGTAATTTCTACAGGAAATCAGTGAACAGTATAGGTTGAATTATTTAGCACAGCGGATAAAATATAATGACTAAAAAGTTAAACCATTGATACAAAACACGGTTAAATGATTAAAGAGATGATTTGTAACAAAATCTATGACGAATTGATTATTAAAAAAAAATCTAGTATTGATCATTCCTTTTTTTCTTCGATTTTTCGGTCTAATAGTTATTTCTTGATCTTTCATGTAGCTCACTATTATTAAATATGACTATGCATAATTTGGTGCGATTCATGCCCATGCCCAATGTGGATGGTACTGAAAATTTTGTTTCTGAAGCATCTAAGAGTACAAAGACTGGGCGTAAGGATAGTGCAAAAGTTAGTAAAAGAAATGTTTTGCGGCAATCGAAAAAAAGAAATTCTTATGGTACAAATAAGCGAGCTCGTAAGACTAAAAAAAGGCCACCAGATAGATTTAATAACGCCGTTTACTTCAAAAAAAGCAACAATTCGAGTAATTCTAACATTCGAATAATTTGGACCGAGGACGGACAGTTCAAAATCGTCGAAGGTGACGATAATGATAATGAATCCAAAGGAAAAAGTGCCGGTCGGCCACGGACACAAAGTTATGCGAGAAATTTGAACGGCGCATCGCGCAAAAACAAAAAATCGACTGACAAAGATGTTGGTTTAGCTCGTCGCACAAAGATGAAGAGTGCTTCAAAAAATACTGTCAATAGATCTACTTCTGTTCGTACGGACAACGACAAAGAAATTGACGAAAGGCAGATCTTACCATTGAGAAACGCGGGTGAAGAAAATCCAATTATGTCTACAGAAGACTTGCAAGAGTCCGAAAAAACATTTGATGTAGACTTGAAGTCTTCAAACATGATTCAAAATAATATCATTGCAATTTCGACTGATCATATTAAAAGTGAAGTCATAGATGTTACCGACAGAAGGCTAAGTTCAATGATTTATTCCGCCATCTCAAAGAATAACATGAACTTTCTCAAAGAGTCGAAGAAAAAATGGGATAGTGTGCAACGCGATCGAATGGAAAAAAACCAAAGTGTCCTTGCTATAGGAAGAAAAAAAGATTGCAAGCAAATACTTCAGTCAAAATATGCAAAGAAATTTTGGGAGACTAGAGAGCAAACATTATGCAGTCTTCCTCCGGGACGCCATGTTCGACAAACAGATAGGCACTGTGCGACACAAAGTAGAAATAACACATTTCGTAATTATTCCGCAGAGCCACAAAGGTAATAATTACGGAGGTGGTAGTATTTATGTGAAATTTAATTTTAGTCTTAACACAAAGCTTTTTCATTTTCTCAGAAGCACACAAGTTGACCGCAAACTTCAATCTCACTCACGTTCTAATTCTCCGGAACAAATTGTTGAGAGCCTTCCAATTTCAACCAGAACTAGGAACAAAAGGATCTCGAATTCAATTGCAGAAGAAAAAATTCGACAATCCGATGTCGAGCCTTCTGAATTCATTCCAGCCGGAAGGGCAGCATATCCGCTTCACACTAAAGGACATGACAATTTCGAAACATCCGGAGAAGTTAACGATTCTCATGATACCATAACGAAAGATAGTGGAATAATGGAAACTTTAATACATGAATTGCCAAAATCATCAAACAACAAAGAAAAAAATCAAGAATGGGATTGGCAAACTGATGAAGAAACAGTCGTAATGAAAAGCGCAAACTGGGAGGATGCAAATGAACTCCATACGGAGAACGAAGAGGAGACTATTGAGTTAGCAAGTGATGGATGGAATGGCAGCGGTGTTAATATCGAGTGGGATTTTCCAATTAATCACGAAGATGTTATGATGAATGATAATTCGACTCTTTTAGAGAATATAAATGAAGAAAGGAATTCAAGTCAGTCTTTAACATCTCAGGAAAATTTACAAATTGAACCGCAAGCTTTTACTCAAAATTTTGCTCAGCAGTTGACATATACCGAAGATTTACAGGTCGATTTGAAGGAAAATTCCAAAAACGGATTGGAGGTCGAACAATATGTTGATCATCAAAACTCGGCGCAGCTAAATTCCGAACACTCAGCCTTGCCAATGGTTCTGGATGTTCTGGATGAGACTCCCGTTGGTAGCACAAGTAGAAATACGTCCGATATGTCCGATATTATACCTAACTCACCCCTTACGAGTCTCTTGGAAAGATTTGTAGAATCCTCCACAACACTCGATTCATTCAGTGATGATATTGATGATTGCATGCTGTACTCTGTGACCGACTTGAACGCGTATTCGCGTCCGACGACCCCTTCAACAGAAGTCGATATCACATTTGAAGATTGTCTTGCATATTCACAACAATCAATAATGATAGATGAACTTAATTATTCGCAAATAATACCTCCAATAAATAAAAATGATGTTTCATTTCAAGATTATTGTAGCGGATTGTATTCAATAACCACCACTCCAAGGCAGGAAATGGATAATCCTTTAGATGGTTTGGAATATAATCCAAATTTGGCCTCACTTTATCCATTGTGCACAATTGAAGATGCCATAGGAATTCAAGTTGACGATGTCGATAATAATGCTAATTATCGAAGATTGGAAGGACCTTTGTCAAGTATGCGGGAGGAAGTGGTATGGAAAAAATGACTGGAATGACTGTGTGTTATTTAGTTGTACATTTTAAAATTTGTTATTAGAATTTCCGAGAATCACATGATTTTTCAAGCAGAATTCACATGATAATCACTTGTCGGTTAACACGTAAATAGTCAAATAATGTTTTGCAATTCTCACATTCCTGTTGAATAAAATTATATCATTCACGTAAACGACATTATATAATGTACTCCAAACAGCCTTTCGGAGATAAAAAAAGTCTGTTGTGTTCTGAAGCCTCAAAGTACTTCAGTGATGAAAATGCCAATATCTCAACTGATAGAAGGGAGAAAATTACGCACATGAACCCTTTCAGTAAGCCAAGGTAAATAATTATACTTTAGTTTTTTTTTTAAAAAAAAAAGGATGGTTGATTTTTATGAAGAAACATTCTTGAACTTTTTATACTTTTTATAAGGTTGGTCCTAGGTCCCACAGGCCTAGATATTACTTTGCAAGAATCACCGGTAAAAAATCATTTGCTACCTTCGAAACGTGAAGAACCTTCTTATTCGACAAGCGACGATAATTTGGAAACTATTAAAACAGAACAACAAGTAAAAAAACCAAGACATAGACGTAGCAAATGGTCCAATCTAGAATTAGAAACCCTAGAAAAAGGGATGGAAGAATATGGAACTAGCTGGGCAAAAATTCTGGATGTATATGGGAAACCCCACGGTCACTTAAGAAACCGAACATCCGTTCAATTAAAAGACAAAGCGAGGAACGAAAAATTGCGAAGAACTCGTGAAAACATATCACCTGGTATATTCGACATCGCGACAGACTATTGCTTAAAAGATACTTGAATTACGATCTAAACTTATATTCAAGATTCTATCTTCCTTTAAATACTTTTCGTATCCTATTTTCTTTAATTGTCAATTGAACTTGAGTTTACGGTAAATTTGGCGGGGGTTCATGAAATTCATTTTACATCGCGGAACTATTACGTTTATAAGACTAGGTAACAACGAAATTACTTTTCACAATTACAATAGAATCACTTTTCATGTACCCAATAGAGAAAAAAGCATCATATTATGGTAATTGAGTATCCTCATTATTTTCAAAAGTTATTTCACTTGTCTATGTAATTTTCATTATAGTAGTTGACGACTCTAAGTAATCAAGAGGATTAATATTTTCCATAGGTTACTAAAATATAATTTTTGAAAATCTTTATAATGCTATTAGTCATGTGATCACAAAATAATTTGATAAAATCAAATTTTTGTTTGTTTAATTTTTTTCAAAAGTTAAAATGGTTATTAATTTTTTAAAAAATAATAATATATTTCTAGCCTAAAAAATTTAAATTATGACAATTTATAATATATATGTATATATACTGTATATTGCAAAAAAGTATTAAATATAAGATATTTATTAAACTAAAAAAAACTCTTTTTCATTTCTTCCTTTTATACTTGAATTTTTCTTTTTAAGGAAATTTGAGTTATTTTTTTTGTTTTTCTTTTTCTATTACTTTTTTTCTCTGTTTTTTTTTCTCCTTTTTTTTATTCTTTTATTTTCTTTTTTAAAAAATTTTTTTTTTTATTTTCTTCTCTTCCTTATTAAAATTAGATTTTTTCTTCTTTTTAAAGTTTTTTCTTTCTAAGTCTTTTCTTTTTTAAAAAAATTTTTTATTTATTTTATCACTCTTCTGATCAGTTAACTTTTTTTTCTCAAAAATTATATTAAGAAATAGTAACTTTTCTCAAGTCATAAACTTTAAAAGATTTTTCTTTTCTATAATTTTTTTAAAAAAAGAATAAATAATTTATCTTTTTCAAAAAATTGTATAACCATTATTATCAAATTCAATATTGTTTACTTATTAATAATTAAACTAAATATATTTAAGAAGCTATTGTATAGTTATTGTTATTTAAATTTTCAAAAAATTGTATCTTATAGTATTTAATCAGATAGTAATTAATATTAATATAGATTTCTATAAATGTCATACTAATAATAAAGATGAGTTCCTAAATTAAAAACAAGAATATAATTCAAATATTTCTTGATATTAAAAAAGTGTTTTAAAAAATATAAGATTAAAAAAAAACTATTTATAAAGATTTTTTTACAATTTAGACTACTTGATTCAAATGTTTTTTAAATTAAATGCTTATTAAAATAATGAATAAATAATTATATCTCTTTAAAAGAGATATAATTAATCTGTAAAATTTTATATGTTAAATAATTTAAAAATCTATTCTTAATTAATAGCTAAAATATCTAATAGGATAACATATAATAATTAAGAATTCTAGTTATTTGCAAATAAAACTAGTAATAATAACAAAAGTTTCTTATTTTTTTTTTTTTTTTTTTTTTTTCCGTAGTCAAACAAGTACGTACTGTTTATTAAATCTATACAGAAAACAAAT